GTCCATTTCTTCTGTGTTTTCCATTTTATTAGAGTACAGGTTCTCAAAGTAGGTATTGATGATCCACTGTATTTCTGCTGGATCTGTTGTGGCTTCACCTTTTTCATTCTTAACTGCATGGATTTGAGCTTTTTCTTTCCGTTTTTTTTTTTTTTTTTTTTACTTTTTTTTTTTTTTTTGGTACCGGGGATTGAACTCGGGTCTTTGCGCCTGCACAGCAGGCGGTGAAACCACTGAGCTAAATCCCCGGCCCCTATAACTATTATTATGATCTCCATTTGTGCAGGCTATTTCTAAGCCCCTGAAGTGTTCCGGGAGGAAAGTGAAAAGTCTAGTTTAGGGGTGTACAGGGATCCTCATAATAACAGTAACCCAATGACAACTTGTGCCTGATGGGAGCTGCCACACCCAGTGGCCAGTATGGGGAGTAGCTGCGGAGAGAAGTCTGCCAGCTGGAGATCACACCCACCTACAAGATAAAAGGACAAAAAAAAAAAAGATAAAAGAACAGCTAGGAAAGCAGTGACAATGCCCCGAATAGCCCACTGGGTCTCCAGGATGACAGTCCACATTTTTCTGTCCTGCCTTTGATCCTCCAGGACCTGCTGTAAAATTTCATACAGACCCCAAATCAATCAATTATGTGTCAACCCTGAACAAGCATAAAGACTCTCTATAGGATGAGTAAAAAGATAAAATCTGGGGCCGGGGATTTAGCTCAGTGATTTCGCGGCCTGCTGGGCAAGTGCAAGGACCCAAGTTCGATCCCCGGTACCAAAAAAAAAAAAAGATAAAATCATGGGACTTTTGAAAAGAATTCCTCAAACCAAGAGACCACCAAAATCACAAAATGAAGTGAAAAGAACAAATCCCAAAGGATTATATACAACACAAAGCCTTTGTCAGTTTAAAAAAAGAAGTATAGATGCAGAAAAACTGCATAAAAAGGAAAGCCATGGGATGGTAAGCATGGGTTTCAGATGCTTACCTCAGACACACAAGACAGAAACATATGGGAAAGGAAGAGCTGTATAGTTAGGGGTATGATGTTTATCAAAGTTTCAGTTTTTGTTTGAAATCATGTGTTCATGAATGCTTAGTATTACACATTATAATAACACATGGACCAATGATGAGTGTGTCATAAACCTAAGCTTATGATAACCCTGATCATTTTTTTATAAATTTTATTTTATCCCATTCCCCCCTCAAGCTCCCTCCCCTCCCTATGTACAAAAGCTTTGTTTCCATTTTTTCCTTCTATTTTAACTTTTTTAAAATTTTTAATTATTATTTTTTTTGGTACCGGGGATCAAACTCAGGTCCTTGCGCTTGCACAGCAGGCAGTGAAACCACTGAGCTAAATCCCTCGCCCAATTTTAACTTTTTTTCTTGTCTCTTCCTGCCTGCCTGCCTCCTCCTTCCCTCGTTCCCCTTCCCATTTGAACACTTCCTTCCCATTTCCCAACATCCATTATACATCTCAGTCCTTATTTCCACATTCAGTTTCTCACACCAGAAAAACAATACAGTATTTAAACGTGTCCAATTTATTTCACTTATGAGTATGGTCTCAAGGTCCATCCATTTAGCTATAAATGTCTAGAGCTCATCCTACTTTATGACAGAGTAGTACTCCACTGTATAAAAAAACCACATCTTTATCCATTCATCAATGAGCATTTGGGTGATAACCCTGATCTTTGTGTTTATGGTCTGAAGGAAGAGAGGACTAGAAATAGAAATGATCAGAAACAATGGTATTTGGACAGATCTGTGGAAAGTCTCCATTCTAGCCTTTTTACTATGACATCCTTCAAATCCACAAGGATGAACAATCATTTGTTCAACCTAACTTACTAAATAACCCTGGCAATTATGCTGAAAAACATATTCAAATATCAGTAGTTTTATTAGCGAGGATTACCAGTGATATGACATTGGAGGACTTCCAAGTCCAGCATTATGACACAACAGATGCTCAGAAGATTGTCAAAAGCAACCAACAATATATTGTGTATGTCTCACAAAAAGGAGTCTTTAAAAACATACCTTTTCCTCAAAAAGGAAACCAAGAAAATGTGAACTGGGGTGAGAGGGGCAGGCAGCATAGAGGGGGATACTCTGGGCACAACCCTCGTTTGGTGGTGTGATACTAACAAATATGCACTGAAGACAATTTGTCCCTAATGGATGACAGCAGTCACATCAAGAGAGAGGAAACTGATCTCCTTCTAGGGAAGGGGAAACCACAGCAGTTGTCATCTCCTTTGGCCCTGAGACTTGACAATGACTTCTCCTAAGGAGCTGTAATTGTCAGAGAGTAGACTGACTCTTAGGCCAGGGGTGAGGAGAGCTAACTAAAGCTGAAATTCCCTACTTTGAGCTGTAATGCTCAGAATGGGATTGGGTGGTCCTGGATAGTGGTAAGCCCTGTCCATAGCAGAATTGAAACCCTCCCTGGAGGAAAACTTCCCCAATTTTACATATAAAACTTCTGCAGATTAAGATCAAGCAACCAATTCACAATCAAAGATCACCTAGTATGCTAGCCAGGCGTGGTGGCGCACACCTGTGCCTCAGAAGACTGAGGCAGGAGAAACACCCTGAGTCCGAGGCCAGCCTGAACTATGTAGTGAGACCCTGTCTCAAAAAAAACCCTAGTATACAAAAAAGCAAGCCAGTAGAAACATAAAATAGATACAGACCTCCCCAAAACTGAAGTTAAAATATTACAAATAAAATGTCTCCAAGTGCATAGATGAGTTTTTAAGAAGTAGGGAATAACAAATGAGTCAGCACATTATAAGTGAAATAAGGTACAAGAACAAGTATTACATGGGAGCAGATCATGGCCTTGTAGGGGGCAAGAGCAAAGATGAGAGCCTCTGAATCAGTCACTGGAGAAAAGCAAGTACCCTGAGGCAGGCGCTAAAGCTAAAGTCTTAGACGGAGTGTAAATGAAAACAGAAAATTGTAGAGCAAAAACTAGTGTCTAGGATTTGTGAGGGGATACTGGACCACTCCAGACCACGCCGCCCCTCCCCGGCCTGGCGGCCTGGCGCACTTGGCAGCTTGGGGAGGATCAGGTTGAGGGAGGGAGCCGGCTCTTCAGTGGCACCCGGGCTGCTGGAATACTCCTCATCACTGGGAAAAGGATCACATGCAAGCCAGGGCTTCAGAGAAACCCAAATCTGGAGGACAGTGTTTCAGAAAACAGCACACGCTCAGGTTTAGAAAACGATATCTCTCTGTAAGCGGCGAAACTGGGGAGAAAGAAGGCTTGCCCTACCCAAACGAAAAAACTAGTCACCCATTCCTCCTCCCACAGAAACGGGAGTGGCTGCGCTTGTGGGGCATTCGGTGCGCTGCCCCTGCTTGCCAGCAGGCTTCCACGGGGGAGCTCCCGGAACCCCCTTGCTGGGACTGGAGAGGGCAGGGAGACCCGGGACTGGGCGGGTCAGAAAGTGAAGCTCTCGGGACAGTGAACAAAAAGGATCTTGAGAGGAGGAACAGAGGCCAGTCCCAGGACAGAGGCTTCTGGTCCCTCACTAGACAAAGGCTTGCGGAAGCCCCCAGTCCCGCCCTAGACAGCGGCTGAACCCAGAGCTGTGGCTGCACGGGTCCCACTCCGGCATCGCTGGAGTCACAGGAAAGAGAACGGTGATTCGGTGGAGCAAAGGTTCTGTTCTTTCCCCAGACACCAGAAGGACCCTCAGAGGAGTGAGGTCCTGCTCTCCTGCCTGCGGGCCATACCAAGCCCACAGGTGGAGACCCGAGCTCTTGAGACCGAGGACTGAGGGCGGAGGACAGACAGCAGCACCCGAGTCGGAGGGCTTCTGGGAATATGCTGGGCAAAAGGGGCGGGGGGGGGGGAGCGGCGCTGTGGAGGGAAGTTTCGGAGAGGAGGGCAGGATTTGCCCACCAGTGAAGGGAGCGACTCCCTGGCGGAAGTCGATCGAAAACCGGCTGTTCGGCAAATTACGCCACCGCCACTTCTTCCCAAATCAATTGAGGCAATGGGATTTGGGGACCTGTGGTAGAGGCCTGCAGCCGAGCGTGCCCTAAGCACAACCCGTAGCCGGGAGTGGGTCTGGAGGAATGAGCAGCCCTCAACGCTCGGGGGCAGGCCGCTGGGCCTCCGTGAGAACCCAGGTCGGCGAGGCTGCTCACATCAGTGGCTCCAGGGTAAAGCAAGCAGCGCGTAGCACTGTGTGGAAGTGCTTTGCTAGTTTCCTTCTTTCCTTCCTTTCTTCCTTTTTCTTTCTTTCTCTTCTGGTTCTTGCTTCCTTATTAATATTGCTTTTTATCTTACTTATTTTTCAAGTTTTTCCTTTGGTCCTGTCTTGGTCTTTCTTCTCTTTTATTTTTTTACTCTTTTCCACGCTATTCTTTTTTCTTCTCTCTTACTCATTTTGTTTTGTTTTGGTACTATAGTTCGAACTCGGATCCTGACTCTTGCAAGGCAGGCGGGAGAACCGGGAGAACCGCTGAGCTAAATCCCCAGCCCTCTTCCTCATTTTTTTGCTTCCTTGTCTTCCCTCTTTTCTCCATAAGAGAATAAGAGTTAACCAGTGATATATATATACATATATATATATCATATATACATTTGTACATATATATGTGTGTGTGTGTGTGTATCTATATCCAAAAGAGAATAATAGTTAACCAGTGATTTTGTGTCAGGGTAACCCTTAAGAAAATTGTGTTTAGAGGAACTAACTGCAAACCAACTACAAACAAGTTCCAAAAATCTCACAGCCTTCCTCAACCTCTAACTACACTTCCATCCCTCTCCTCCTGCTTCCCCAAGTATTCTCACAAACCTCTTCAACACTAGACCTTTACTCCAGCTATAAAAATAATCCCAACAGAGTCTGACCTCCTGTTATTTTTCACCTATCGACATTTCTCCTATCACTCTCTCTGCCCATTGACATAGCCCCCTCCTTTTCCCCTTCTTTTTTCCTTCCTCCCACCCTCCAAATCCCAGACTAACTTTAAACAGCAGTATAATCAAAACAAGCTTCAATGTTCATGACTGTAGGATTGGATCTGTTGATGCTGTTACAACCAGTAGAAATTCTCTCCTTACAATGCAGTGACAGGGCCAATCCAATTAAACTGAATAGGTTGGAGTGGTAGACAGTACCTCTTGGCAAATAAAGCTGAGATTATATTACCATAAAACAGAACTCAGCTAAACAAATCTTCATGCCAACAATAAAGTCTCTTTACTCTATTTGACCTAAACCCTTAGCGCCAAAAAACAAAAACATAAAACAAGGCAACAAAATGCCTCTAAAAACTCCCAACTTCCCAAAGCAGACCTAAAGGGTACCAATGGAAAGGAAACCAGGCACCAAATGGCTAAATTGTACAAAGTGATCCAAGAGAAAGCAAAGAAACTTAGTGAGCTCAAAGATGATATAACAAAACAGATGGTGGAATTAACGAACAAACTGATTGATGTGTTTAAAGAGGCAGCTATTAGAAGAGTTAACCAAAACCATTCAAAACATGAATGACAAATTTACAAAGAAATAAAGAGTTCATTAAAAGGTACCAAACAAATTCCAGAAATAAAGACTTCTATTGAACATTTGAATAGCATTATGAGGAATGTCAGATCTGGAAGACAAAAAATGACACATAGGACCATATACTCAGAGATACCTTAAAAACAATAAGAGCAAGGAAATTGATCCAACACTATTAGATGGCACAAAAAAGACTAACCAAAGATCAATTGGAATTAGAGAAAAATCAGAAAACAGCACACATAGAATAAAAAATCTGACAAAAATCATAGCAAAACACTTTCCAAGTATGGGGAAAGGACTCAACATATAGATAAGCAAGGTACACAAAATATCAAATAATTATGAGAGAAAAAAGTCCCACAACACATCATAGTCAAAACCCCAGAAGTCCAATACAAGAACAAAATCTTAAGGACTGGGGATTTAGCTCAGTGGCACCATGCCTGCCTTGAAAGCGCAAGGTCCTGAGTTCAATCCCAGGTACCACCAAAGAAAAAATCTTAAAAGCAGTCAGGAAAGGGCCAGTGATTTAGTTCAGTGGTTCCACTGCCTGCCTTGCAACCGCAAGGTCCCAAGTTCAATACCCGGTACCAAAAAAAAAAAAACAGTCAGAAAAAAGCAAAAAATCACTTATCAAGGTAAACCCATTAGAATTACAGCTTACCATAAACTTTGGACACGATGAATACCACAAAACTCTAGATTATTAGTAAATACTATGAAAATATGTACTGCAATGAATGGGAAGATCTATAAGAAATAGACAGATTCCTAGATACGTATAAATTTTCAAAACTGAATCAAGAAGACATAAAAACCCTAAACAGTCCAATAACAGGCAATGAAATTGAGACAGTAATAAAATAACTACCAACTAAAAAAAACCCAGGACCTGATGGATTCATTGCTGAATTCTGTAAGAATTTCATGGAAGATCTAATGCCAATACTCCTCAAATTCTTTGATAAAATTGAAAGGGAAAGGGTACTTCTAAGCTCATTCCTGTAAGCTAACATTATCCTGATTCCAAAACTAGATAAGGACACAACAAAAAAGAAAACTATAAGCCAGTCCCTTTAATGAACATAGACACAAAAATCCTCAACAAGGTACTGGCAAACAGAATGCAACAAAATCATCAAAAAGACCATACATCATGACCAAGTAGGCTTCATCCCAGGAATTCAAGGGTGGCTGAACATACACAAATCATTAAGTGTAACTCATCACATAAACAGAAGCAAGGACAAAAATCACATGATCATCTCAATAGATGCAGAAAAAGCCTTTGACAAAACCCAATCCATTCATGATTTTATTTTTGTAATAAATTTTATTTTACTTTATCCTATTCAGGATTTTTTTTTAAACCTGAAGAAAATAGATAGAGAGCCGGGGATTTAGCTCAGTGGTTTCACCACCTGCCTCACAAGCACAAGGTCCCGAGTTCGATGCCTGGTACCAAAAAAAAATAGATCTAGAAGGACCTTATCTCAGTCTGATAAAATTCATTTATGACAAGGGGCCAGGGATTTAGTGCAGTAGTTCAGCTGCCTGCCTCGAAAGTGCAAGGACGCGAGTTCGATCTCTGGTACCAAAAAACAAAACAAACAAACAAAAAAAAATCATTTATGACAAAACAGCTGCTAACATCATATTAAGTGGGGGAAAAACTGAAAGCTTTCCCTGTAATTAGGAACAAGACAAGGATGTCCATTATCATCACCCCTGTTGAATATATTATAGTACTTGAAACATTAGTAAGAGGAACCAGGTAAGAGAAAAAATAAAAGGAATGCATATAAAAAAGGAAAAAATCAGACTATCATTATTTGCAGATGACATGATCCTTTACATAGAAGAACCAAAAAATTCCACCTAAAGATTTCTAGAACTAATAAATTCAGCAATGTAACAAGATGCAAAACCAACACAAAAGTAAATTGTGTTCTTGTACATGAATAATGAACTCACTGAGAAGAAATTAGAAAAGCATTACCATTCACAATAACTTCAAGAAAAATTAAATACTCAGTACTTAATCTAAACAAGGAAGTAAAAGATCTCTATAATGAAAACTACAGTACACTGAAAAAGGAGATCAAGGAGGACACTGAAAAATGGAAAGATATTCCCTGTTCCTGGATAGGCAGAACCAATATTATCAAAATGGCCATACTACCAAAACTGATATACAGATTTAATCCAATCCCAATCAAAATACCAATACCATTCCTTACAGAAGTAGAAAAAAAAAAAGATCCTAAAATTTGTATGGAAGGAGAAGAAACCCAGAATATCAAAAACAATCCTGAGCAACAAAAACAAAGCAGGAGGCACCATAGTCCAAGATTTCAAGCTATATTACAAAAGGACAGTGATAAAAATAGCATGTATTGGCACAAAAACAGACACATGGGTCAATGGAACAGAATAGAAGATGCAGAAACAACCCCAGGCATATTAAGTCATCTGATCCTTAACAAAAGGGCCAAATACATATGCTGGAGGAAAGAGCTTCTTTAAGAAATGGTGGTGGGAAAACTGGTTACACACATGCAAATGATTGAATCTAGACTCATATCTCTCACTATGCACC